CCGTCAATCTTGGTTCGCCACTGTCAGTTTAGCAATCTACCTTTTCATCAGTAACATCCTCTTGTTGAATCTCCTTATTGCTATGCTGAAGTAAGTGTCAATTTCCCCCATCCTGTTCTTCCTCTCAGTTAACTGCTGGAATTACAGAGATATTACCACAGCGAGTTAATTAGGTTTCGAAAGTCTTTCTATCTAAAAAAAAAAGCATTTGTGATATGAAACGCACCTTTAATTGAAAGTTATTAGTTATCGTACTCCATGCGCGTGTCCTCAGATCCCGAATGCAGTTTTAGCCCCCAGAGGAGAAGCAAATAAACAATCTTAAAGGAGATGTAACTGTAATACAAATAATGCATCTACCCTGAAAGCAAAAGATGACAGGATTTCTTTGCGGTCATGCTATTTAGCGTCAACAAGCGTCAACACATACAAGTAGCGTCAACAGAGCGTCAACAACTTTAAAATACCCTCTAAAGATTTAAGAGTGGTTTTTATCGTATTTTACAGCCTCTATGACCTGCTACTGTGTAAGAGAAACATTGAATTCGCGTCCATATTCTCGTAGAAAAACGAAAACTTTTCTCGATGTATTGAGGCCGTCTATTTTCTTTACTCTACCGTCCGCGCAAAAACAAGATGGCGGTCTGTCGGGCTGCACGAGCAGGCCTGACTTTGTCACCCAAGTTTCAGCAATTAAATATCATTTCAGATAGATATGATACATTGAATAGGATATATAGGAGCCTAATTAATATTGTAAATTTTAAAAAAAGGAAAAAGTGTGCTTAAATAACTTGTTGACGCTTTGTTGACGCTCGTTGACGCTTTCTTTGTGGCAGTTTATTCTCTAGGATGCATAAAGGGTTGATGTTGTCCAATGAAAATGGAATAAAGATCCTCCTGTTTTATCAGCTAAGGTTTTGGTTTCAAGAACATGCAGAAAATTGTCTCTTTGGTTCACACTTTAGCTACACCTTCACTGCAGTCCAGGAGAACACTGACACTTACTGGAAGTTCCAACGATACCAGCTGATCAAAGAATACTACCGCCGACCTGCAGTAGTTCCACCCTTCATTGTGGTCGCTCACTTGTTTCAGCTGGTGCGTTATGTATGGGACAGATGCTGTCCAAAACACAAAATGTACAGAGTTCCAAATCTCATGAGTAAGTGAATCAACCTTAGTACTTTGTTTATTACTGGTTTATTTATTTCACATTAGGTGGGCACTTGCAGACAGAAAGGCTGAATTGCTGCCACAGCAACATTACAGTTAAACGTTCAAAAAACAAATAGTAGATTTGGTAAAAATAAAAATATATGAAAATGACGCTAAAGTTATTGTAAACTGCACAGTACCTGCGCAGAAACAAAAACATGACCCAAAAAATGATACCGTTATGAACACGTGATATTTTTTTAGTTAGGGAAAAGTTTCATTTCTGTCACCTCAAAAAAACTTTTTAAAATTTTTAGTTACTCCCTGACAGCATGACTGTCGTGTCCTAGGGGTGCGTTCCACGAAATGGTTGTATTGCTGCGTGCGAGCTCATTAATATTTTGTGATCCCGCGGGATTTGTACAATAGGACAGGCCATAATCAGGAGGGATCATGGAAATATTTTTATAAATCCTGAATTTAGGACTGATAGTTTCCAGTTCGGGGTATCTCTTTCACAAAAAGCCCTAAATTGCGGGCCTATTTTGGATAGAGGCGGGCGGCTACATTCAGAAATGAGCGCTTAGTTTTCCTGCTATTTGGGGGTATTTTCGTTCAATAAAAAATATTTTCGTGGCTAACCCCCCATAAAATTGAAACGGAAAGTGATTTTCTGGCCATAATCTTGAATTTCCAGTGAACCTCTTCACGAGAGTCAACAGACGGTGCTATTTCGGTCCGATTTTGCACTATTTTCTAAAGTGGGTGCGTATTTGGTGTAGTGCAACCCTAGCTTCTGACGAAACTGCTTTGTTGACTATTAGGGCGAAAAATGAAGCGTGAGGTTGCAGAGATGGTGGCTTGGGAGAAGGGGAAATGCCAAGATTATCTGGCTGAACAGAAGGCAGTTAATGCAACAAAAATGAAGATGGAACATATTGAAAAGCGGTAAGTTCCACAGGAAATGTAGGAAATGCTCTTTCCATCAGTAATATTGGGGATAGCCTTATGTGTATCTTGACGTCTCAAGTAATATTTTGAGCCAGCATCCATCTCCACCAACCCTGGTTCTGCCAGGAAAGTTGCACAGATGATATCTCTTGTTTTCTCCAAGGTAGATGTTTTTACTTTTCGCAACCACATTGATACGAGTGTGTCAGGTTTCCCCATATCAACTCATCGTTGGAAGACGGGGTTTTAGCCACACTTTATATCTTTTGCTGTACATCAGTGACTGATGTCATTGAAACTTTGGTTGTAGACTTATATATGTACGGTCATTAGTATTTTCCACTACCAGCCCTTAGCTTTCTCCTTTGTATGGCTGATAATGCATTAAGATTTCTAAGCACCCTGTTTGGACAAATTTACATTCTCCAAGAACGTTGCACTGTACATCAAATTGAACCCTTAAAGATAGGTATGTCAAAGGTTGTACCATACGGGCTCAGACAGGACAAGATAATACATGTAGATTTTAAGATCAAAAGGGATACCAATCTCTTGCTGTATGACGACCAGTCATACCTACAAGCAAGTGGGAGAGCCTGCACATAAAGCATATCTTAATCACTGAAGGAGAACAAATGAAATGGGGCAAGAATTTCAGTGCTCCATGTTGACTTTTACACATTTAACAATTGATTTTATTTTACCATTACCACTTTTGTTATTCCCAGGCTCGAAGACATTTCCTCAAAGATGAACCAGTACTTTGATGGGAACAGTCTCAGTGAATCTCTTAACACTTTGCTGAAGCAGTTGGATTTGAGCTACAATAATCCCAGTCCATACAGGACCAGGTACAGTAAAGAGATTCCAGGCATTGCTTTATTTATACCTTTTTAGGATTCTGATATTTACACAACATGTGGTTGCCTAGTGGCATGATTTGGTGATGTAACTGAAACGGAGGGCTGCCATATCATGTATCGATGAGCTGCGAGGCAAATGCGAGCACATGTATTGCGATGCGTCCAGTCTGCCGGCCGTCAGTGCGTCCGGCCGTCAGCTTTTCACTTGTAATGTTAAGATTTTTCTTCTGGGTATTTGGATAATGATATGTGTGACCTTTGGTTGTGTGTTTTAAACTGGCATTTTATCAATAACAGAACCTAATTATAGGTTATTGCCTTGAATTTGTAGGAAAAACTACATGGGATAAGCAGACCTAGGCCTATGTATATTCTCAATTTCAAAACCTACATTGTTTCTATGATAGATATTATTAATAGAGCTGTGTAATCATTGATCTGTGATATTTCCTTTGATACTTGCAGATCACCAGATTCACTGAGTGTGTCGTTCAGCCAAATTCAAGAGATGAATGCTCAACTGGATTTCATTGGGAGTAGAACATCCAGCATCCAACATCCAGTCCACGCATCCAGCCCTAGAATGATCTTGGTACCCCCCAGAAGTCCACCCAGGAGAAATGACGGGCTGAGATTTGAGAGTAGAGCGCCAAGAAGTTGAACTAGAAGAAAAGATTGGGGGTTGTCCCGAAAATGGCTCTTTACCTTGATGCATTGAGGCCACCCACGAACTTAACATTAAGTTTGAGGAGACATCCAAGAAAAACATCCCACTATAGAGTTAACTTGGCCCCCGTATTCATGTACCACTTCGGTTTGTACTTCACCAGGAGTGTGTGATTTGATTTAATTATGTTTTGTCATCGGGAGAAAAGGAGCATAACTCGTATGTTCAGTTTCTGGGGCTATATATACGTATATATAGTAGCGTAGGCAAGAGGAGCAGAGAATACAGAAGGTATGAAGAATTTAACTGATAAGGGGGAAGTTGGAATGCTGAATGAAATGAAATCAAGAGAGCGAAATAAAGGAATATAAATGCCTAACCGGGATCTTGAAAATAGATCATTAATACAAAATGGGTGATGAAAAATAGATGATGACAAAATTAAATACTGTTGTAAAAAAGGATTTCAGAAATGACTATTTCAGTAGACCACTCTCATTTTGCCTATAACTCTTATGGGCGGCCAGAGTTTGCCAAAAATATCACCTTTTGGTTGGATTTCGATTTAACTACCATTTCGTTCAAAACGGAAGGTCGTCCCCATGATTTTAAATGGGGTTGTATTTTCATTTAGTATTTAGTAGTGCGTGTGTTATTATCTTGCGTTCTGATAGTTGCGTGGGATTCATTACGCTTGGTGAATTGTTTTACTTTTGTACCAACGGCCAGCCATAGTTTTTTAGCAGCCGCTTGTAGGAAAAACACGACTGTGACGTCAAAGGAGCAGACCCTATAAAGCAGTTTCTCCGTACCCTCATTTGGTGATTTTACCAGGCAACAAAAACAAAAATAGGCCTGGCAATATAATCATCATAAAAACCTCTTCCGTTGCATCTACAACCTTGTGATAATACAGGCTACGTAGGGTAATGGATACAAAAACTATTTTACTGAAAATCAAAAACACTAAAGTATATCGTGTCATAGTAAAACTATAAACTATATTACTATTCAAAGCTTCACTGCTTTGATAAATATTTCTACGCAGTTAAAGCATTAACTTCAGTTAAATTTCATGCACTGTCAACACGTATACTGTTTTACTGTTACATAGAAAAATACACAGACTTTTATTTTGAAGTGTATTATTTTAAACGTCTTTTAATGAAAGGGAAGAGTATTATATTTTTGCAAAAAACGTACCTTCAAACGGTAGTGAGTGTTGAATTTCTGGCCACTGTGAAATAGCAGTTTAGAATTTGGGGTTGAGTTTTACAGTTTTATCGTAGAGGCAAGTTGATGGTTTACACACACTGTTAAGTTCGAAATGCCTGTATTATTTTTCTAGCATATGACAAAATGTAAACCAATAAATCTCGTACCCAAGAAGATGAATGCTTAGCTGGGTGTGGGGCAAAACGTGCACTCCTTTCTCAAATACACTTTGCGCCCCGAATTTTGCGCATAAGCTTGGGTTTTGAAGTTCAAATAATATTCTCAATTAATCAAATTAGGTATAATTTACAGAGATATGTATTTCAATGGCTTGGAATACGAACAATGCGCCTTATGAATTTGTACATAATAGGCCTTTTATTACCAGTGGTCATGCGTTAACTTACAGGTCTTCGGTTGCTACGAGTGGACACTTTGGTTGCTACGGTTCTTTAGGTCGCAGAGAATCAAGATGACAAAAATAGCGAATGCCTCGTGACTAGGTCTCTGCCAATCAATATACAGAATCTGAACAATTATCAGACAAACTTAACGCCTTTAGTCAAGGCAATACACTCAAAGGAAACCAGTAAATTAGAAATTGCTGATGACACAAACACTTACTGTATATACACGGACGAGTTCGTCAAGATTCAATCGGCATGTGACCTTCCATAATCATCAAAATGACATTTGAAAATAGTTTCAAAGAAAAATTAAAAATTATGGAGTGTGGCATACGGGGGCAGATCCCGGATTTCTGTCGGCCTGTGCGAGGAATTTCATGCTTGTGAAAGGAGAATTGTAGTTGTCGCCGTTGAAGGCGTTGAATCTTTTTTTTTTCTTTAACCGGTATCAAAAGTCTTCCAACATAAAAAGTAGGACAACTTGGCAATGAGCGTTTGGGGACCCCCAAACCCCACTCTGGATCGGCAGCTTGACAAAAAATTGGATCTCCGCTCATATTTGTCCCACATAATGTAGGGCTAGAGAAAGAAGTCTATGTAATGTAGGGATGTAGGACGTATCGAACTCCGGAACGCGGTGTTGCTTTACTGACCCTCTGAAGAGTTTCGGCGCATTGTTTTTTAGGGTCAGGGTTATCTGTGTCAAAATAAACAGGAAAAGTCCATGAAATTATCCTCAAAAGTTCAGATCAAAGTAGTTGTCTTAATGGGGAAAGGAGCATTTGCCCCGAGTTTTCTTAGCTACAGGAGAATAACGAAATGTCCACACGTTATTAGTGTTTATGCGTAGGCCCGTAGGCTGGATTAGGCCTTGGCCTATGATAATACACTAAGCAAAACATTCCACAGTGTGGCTAGATATAGGCAACAATTCTTCGTCGCGAGAGAGAGTTCCGCTGAAGTGGTGAAACTTGGAATTGGTCCCCAAAGGAAAACAGAAAATTCCTTCATCGTCTCCCTATTGTGTACCCGCTCTCCTTATCGGCTAGGTTCATTTGTTTAGCGAGGATTAACGTGCTTCCCTTGAAACCCTGCGATTTGGGGATGATATAATATTAATATAAAAGCTGGCCAAATCTCAACAATTCGAAAAACCTTAGGGCACATGGCTTAAGGATTCGCTGAATGGCCAACCTCGTGACAGGGCTAGAACTATCAAACGGATAGTACAATGAGTAGACGCACTGAGTTGACCAATCAGATCATCGGATGACAATAAGTCACTTGGGAATTAAATTTAATTAAAATCTGGTACACTGAATTCTTTAAATTCAGGTGAACAAAGTTTGAATCCTCCAGACTAAAAACACTGTTGCTATACCTCGTGATTTGGGGCAAGCTTTTCCTTAGTTACATAAGAGACACCTTGCAACAATACACTGTTCTCAACGGATAAGAACGGCACAAGGGAACCAGTCCATTCCAGAGATGGTGGTCGCTATGCAAAAACTGGGGAATTCAAATTGTTACGTTTATATGCATTCAGATAATACAGTGTACCAGATTTTATTCAATTTCAACTCGCAAATGGCTCATTGGCAGATTGGAACGCCCTTGGCAAATAACAAGAACTCGGAAACCCCCAACTGCCCCACTTTACGGCAAAAGTAACTTCAAGGCTATATCACGTCGACTTGTGTCGCGTGATAAGTCAGGCAAGTGATGTTAACTTTGCCATCCTTTTCATATTTTCAATTCACATACAAGCGTAAATGACCTGTCAATTTATGGCTAAATAATTTCAACGTATACACAGTGTTGTTGACTCGGGTCGCTATTTTTTTAAACTCCAGACTGGACTTGACTTGGAAAAGAATGACTTGCGACTTAACTTGACAAAATCTGACAAGCTACATGAACACAACAGGTTTCTTCTAATTCCAAAGAACATTAACTTTTTGGTGCATCCATCGGCACCTTACCGAGTGATGACTGATTGAAGCATGATTGAAGAGAAGTGCATAAATCCTACAGCTCGACCACTCGCGGTGTACACACACGGAACGTGTGTTTGGCTGCAGTCAGGGATACCGATTTTTTCTTCGGACTTTTTTTTATTCTTCTACTTGAAGACCGGTATGTTTTTCTTGAGACCAGAAAAACAACTTTTTTTGGTTTTTCCCGCCTTCTTCTAAAATTTGTCTTTAAAAAATCTGATCACCAACTTATAAAAAAAATGCTCGCCGATTGACGCGCGTGTGCTTATGCATCCGCATGCGTATGACGTAGCCTCGTGCGACACCATCTGCCCGACATGTCCAAAGGTGGCGACTTTTAGGTCTGCACTGTTGTTGTTTGTTCTGTTTTGTACCAAACAAACAACAAAAGTTGTCTTTAAAATCTCATTTAGATGAGCTCCCCGATAGAACTAGACAAAGCCGAGGAATTGAGACTAAGGCGACAAATGACCTGGTCAAAATCATAGCTACCAGGACGATAGGAGCAAGTCGTGGTCGGTAAAACAAAAGTGGATGTCTACAAAGCATGCTGAAACTTGCAATGCCCTCTCGGTTCCTTTCTTCCTTCTTCAAAGATGCACACGTTTGAAAAAGGACTTTGAACCATGAGCTCAGAGATCTTAAATACAGTATACCTGTAAACAATAAAACCACATGGAATCCTTTTTCAGGTCCGTGTAACTTGTCAGTTTAAACAAGACAAAAATGATTTTACCTAGACGATTGTACTGCAGCTTTGAGATAATGTCGAATAGCGGAGGCAGCAGGACAGCGTATATTTGTAACTGAATCGCATGGTTCCAATTTAAACTGCTGCAACAAAAACTAGAAAGTGTCATAAAAAATTGAAAATTATGTACAACGATGTGCACTTAAATAATACGGGCGATTCACACGGTCGCCAGATTCATACGGTCGACAGATTTCGCGCATTGTGATTGGCCAACGCGTTGCAAACTCTTGGAGATGCACTGCTGTGAAACGCCCGTATTGGCGTGCACGCTTCGTGCGTTTCATATTCTGTCGTAACATGCAATCATTGCAGTGATTGTATCAATGGTTTGTACAGGTGATAGGCCTGCACTGCATAAGTTTAACCATACTTTTAGTTGGTTTCATCGAACTCATGTTTCCCAACATACAGCAACCATTCCCTCGGTTGCTCTCCTCTTTGGTGGTGACATCGCGATCTTGGAGACACTCGAGGATGCCGTCAAAAACAACATCCCGATTGAGGTCCTTGCTTTGATACTGGACGGGCAGCGCCTCTTGCCGGAAGTCAGTATTTGCTTCGCTTGCCATCTTAATGTGCGTTACACCTTTGGGTCGGTGAGCATCATGCAATCTAGAAATGTAGTTGACACAATGTAAACAAAGTTACATTTGTTGTTAAATTGGTGGTAACTGCTCGGTCATTTAAGTTAAACATTTGACTACTTTCATAGCATATGCAGAAATGCTTGATTTGTTTGTTTGTTTTGGCTTTTTCCACATTGTTTGAAAAAATGGGTTCATTTAATTCACATTGTGTAAAAGTCTTTTTAAAGTTAATAGATTTTTAACTCGGCAATATTTCACCGATTACGACATTTAAATGATCCTGTTATACATGTGGGTAAAAAATGATATCTTTAAAATACTGAAATGAATTTGTTGGATGTTACTTAAGCAATTTGTGGCAATTTTGTTTTAAAGAATACAAAGATCCCGTGAATGCAACTCTGATTCTCAACATCACATCTGCTTCTGTCTGTCAGCACTGATCATTCGTAACTCAAAAGAAACTGGCTTCCTTCGGTGCAATTGTCAAACTACTTAGAATTTATAAAACAAAGAACGGTAGGTGTTGTGCGCTGTTGAAATAAGGCTTTCAGAATATAGCATATCAGAAAATCCGTTAAAGTTAGGGGAACTGGGGGACAGGAGTCCACTTTCAAATCTTGGCTTCAGTAGTTTAGTAAGTTCAGTAAGTGGTTTTTTTTTCATGCCTTGTAAATGCAGAAATGAAGAATTCAAAGAAGCGCTAAAAGTCGTAACTGAGAAGTTACAGCTGCAAGAATCACGACACGCCCGAATCGTCCACACTGGAAGGTGTGCAGCACCGGAAGGTTTCCAGCAACCACTCAGCAACGCAACTATACGTCATTGAATTAATAAACACATGAAGTCTAGAGGGCGCTTAACGTACCATAATTTCGCTAGTAAAAAAAATTGGTTGTTCCTTTTTCTATGTAATGTGTACTGTCTGTGATACTTTTTTATTTGTAGACTTGTTCCTTATAATGGAAGTATGAACGGTGAAAAACTGGCACGTCCAGCAATGTGATTGTCCAGTCGGGATTTCTCAACTCACAGTAATAAGTGGGCACGAAGCAAGTACACCAAAAGCCAAATAAACGCAGGTGTCACTCAGGATCCCGACTTAAGTTAAGTTTAATAAACTGCCGACATTAGAATGTGATGATTGCATGTTGTACAATTTGTGTCTTGAATTGTGCTTTATGTTTTTGTACAATTTGATTACTTACGTGAATAAAATAAGATGCAGCAGAAACGGTCGTTTGTCTTCCAAGTCTTCTATTTTGTAGTTCTCCATGGGAGGGAACAAAGTAGTGAGAGCGTCAGTTCTTATAGTGCCACACAGGTCAAAGTCGTTCAGTTTTCAAGTGAACACTGGAAAAGGCTTGAAGAGTTGTTACCTTTTGACTAAAGAGCAGGTGTTTCGTAAACGCCCCAAAACAATGCCGTGGGAAAAAACAGATGCGCAGTGAGTTGTTATACACATCACAAGCAATATGCGCTTATTCCGAAGGACCTTATTAGATATATTAAATAATTATATTAAAAACTATTGACTTCCCGGTACATAGGTCCTTCGGAATTAGCGTCCATTGCTTGTGATTATGAAAGACAGCTCAATGCATACCAGTTTGTTCACGAGCACTGAACTTAATCACTCAGGTGGGAGACCTTTCTTACACTTACAGCAATGAGGGACCCGAGACACTTTGGTCACACATATTTTGCAGTAAAATGGGACTCATAAATTACATTCTCCCAGCTCTTTCTGAATAAATCCGACGGAAACCCTCTCAGGCAGGGCTGTAATTTCATTTCTTCGGGAAGAAAGTCCTTTTGGGGGGCGTGGCCCGTATTGGTGTGGGGGCACTTTGCACCTTGTTGCTGTGCATGTCAATTTCTTCTTTGTTATAAAGATAATCACTTTCCTTTGGGTATGTGATTAGTAAGGGGTATTGCAGCATAGCTGTGTACAAAATTTGTTTCTTTCTATGGAGTGAATTTTGATGTGTGGCCTTTGACAGAAGTGGTAAGTTTCTTCTGCTGTCCAGTGTATCTGTCGTGGCGTCAGCCGTACAGCTACAGTCACGCGGATGATCCCAAACAGTATCTCATTGGTCTAAATTCACTGGCCTTGTTCACTAGTACAATATTCTTCACAACCATGTGCAGTGGGGATTGTGTATGCAAACACATGCTAAGAGATTGGACAGGGGATGTTTCAGGCTGACTTCAGTGACTACCTGGGTGATCCAAAGATTGAACCCCCCCTCCAAAAGTAGCAGCAGGAGGAAGTCACGGGGGCTCGGTTGGGTCATGAGTAGCATTTGGAAAAACAATCAGATCACGTGATTTGTGATCCAAGGCTGTCCTGCCTTTCACAGGGAAGTAAAGTGGACGGATCAATACATAAACCTAGATATTCAAATGAAACTAAAACAACAAAGTCCTGTATAACCTGTCAATCGGTAAATCTCTCGAAATTTCGAATGTATTCCATATTGCCAACAGTTTATTGCACGTACGTAGTGTATTCTTATCAGATATATATCATCCTCATTTGTTGAAGAGAAATACCTTACATTTCATCACAACCAAGGCGTCTTTGTTTAGTTTGACAAAACAATGACAAAAGAAGGAATTTAGAGTTTATAAAAAAGAGATGAAGTTGACCTTTTTGTTTTGGAATCCGATTGGAATTTTTTTTTACTGTCACATTTGCAGATAGCGAACCAAAATACGAAGACACGCCTGATCTATGCCCTGGTGAAAAGCTCCAATGTAGCGCACGGTTGGCCCAGAGACCCGGAGTCTTCTGACGGGAGAAGATGGGCTTGCGCTGTCTCCTCGTCACACTGACCTTCTGCTGCCTGTGCCTTGCACAGGAATGCCCCCAACCAGAGATCCGAGTCCTGACGGATGTTGTTGGTATTTGCGAATATGAAAATCCGTAAGTACACGTACCGAAGTCATGGATCCTTACTAGTTCCGGGAAAGAGCTAACAATGATAGAAAATGTCCTGAAATTTCCAGTGTGCTGGAAATTCAAGGGCTTAACACCAGCTTCTCTCCAAGCTACAGTCTCTTCATTTTTATATTCCGGATCACACCAAATTACTGAAAATCAGAGAGACTGCCTTTTACAGACATTTTGAGCCCGGTGAAATGTCTGCCGTTTGTAAATTACGCATGTACTATTGTGTACGCTAATTACATAAACATTCATGTAATGAACGGTATTTTTTCATTTATTGGATCTTTTAAAGTTTGTAGCAAAAGAAAAAATAACTATTGCACCTAACTTTACTTACCATTTAAATAAATAATTAGACCGCCTTACCTCCAATTTAAAAAAAAAACCAATTTAAATTCAAACAAATAATTAAATTTTAAAATCCTGTTTTGAACATTGTTTTTAATATCCAAACAGTCCTCAACTCGGTATGAAAGCTAAAAAGTTGATGGATAAAGGACTGAATTGAGCCTTCTTAGATAAATTGTCATCGTCATCACGAAAGCAGTACACTTGCAACACTGCCGTTCAGGATGCGGCGAATACAATTTTCTAAGAAATTCGCATAAACGCAGGATGTCCCGGTATCCCAAGTCTTTGTCCGATTTCATGGGAACTCAATTACTTGTAATTACTTGTTATTGTTGCCATTACGCTTTCAAGACTAAATTATAAATCGCTTAGAAGTTTCTTCCAAGTAATTAGTGTATCCCCCCTTGGTACCAAAATGGCCTATCCTTTGTCCCTAATATTTTTATCAAAATGTGCTTTCGTCAGAAAATTATAGCGGTGGAGTCTTGATACGTAAAACATGAGGAGGAAGAACAAATCTATTGCTACTCTTTGAGAAAAAATGTTTGAAATCCACACACCGTTTGTTTTCTCATTTCAGAACAATTGTGACCGTGAGCAGACAGGTAACAGCAGTCAGAAATGAGGCGTATCGAGTTCCTTGCGGTTTTCAGAACACAGACTTGTGCGTGATGTATAGGTAAGAAACTTCCATCCCCGTTTGCCTTTTACTGTCGTTCCCTAAATAAAGGTCCATCCCTGGCCTAGCGCAGTACCGTACCCATTCATTACCTTTCTTGCCTTCAGCTGATCATGCTCCCCGTGGAATCAGCTAGTCCGTCTTCCCAAGTATTCTGTAGTCTGTTCAGATATCAACTTGTTCCGAGAATTCTGCCCTCAAAATCGACTTGAAGGTGAGGCCATATATAGACTTGACTCAAGTCGGGATTCTCTACGACCTCTTTGTTTATGCTTTAGACACTGAGACTGCGCGGCGTTACTTGCTTCGTGCACTCTTCTGTCCACTTCTAACTGTGACTTTAGAAATCCTGACTTGACGAATCTGCCTGCCGTTTATACACAGCGAACGGGCCCATCTACCCAAAACGGTGGCAGTCAATCAAATTGCCGGACTTTTTTTGCATTTTTTATATCCCCATTATCTCCATTATACTGAACGAGTCCGACTACTATATTGGTGGAAATTCCGTATATCATGCAAGATCATGTAGCTCATGATGAGGCGCCGTTCACAACTTAATTTGTAAAAAAAAATCAAACGAAACTACATGTAATATAAAGGGAGAAAGAGAAATAAATCTAAATGTTAGTTTTTCGTTCTATTTAAATCACCTTTGTCTGTCAAATATCCTACATTAGTTTTCTACTTTATGCATTAATTTTGTCCTACATATACTTCTTTCGTCCTTTATATATTTCTTTCGTTTTAAATTTATTTCTCTTTCGTCCTATATATTAGTCCTATATATTATTGTCACTTGATTTTTTTACTATAAAATCATAAAGGGCGCCTCTATGTTCATATACAATTATGAATAACTACATATCACATCGGGGATCTAACTGGCTTGTCCGTCCAGTTGGACTAACTGACTGGTGACGAATAACGGCGGATATCACGGAGAGGCTATCAAATGAGAGCGCGTTGAAAGCAGGTATGGGAGCGGCAGGGTGCAGCGACCGTGTAACTGGGAATGGCTGACTCGGGCTGGGGAAGAGCAACGTAAGTCCGACTTGATTCAAGTCTAATGCAATAAAGGCATGCTCACGCCCATGGGCACCGATCAGTAGGGTGGGGGGCGTGACCACACCAACCCAGTTGTAGATCAAGTCATATTGTGTATTTTTAGAACTTGTTACGTCATTTTACCAATCTGTTACTGTACTGTGTGAAGCTTACTGGAAATAAAGCTGTCCAAGATCCAAAATAACTTTTGAATGTTACTCAAAACTTCGGTGCCAAGAACTGATGCTAAGTTAGTTTCTTCATGTTAGTTTGCCTATAGAGGGCCTACATGACACCGTTCTACCCATATGCTTTTTTCGACCAGGGCTCTCTTGTTCCTGCAGCAATGAAACGCTTCACTGTAATAAAACTGACTACACAGAGATTTCCACAAGTGAAAAGTTCGTTTTAATGAGAAACAAACACAGCTCGGCTGCAGGCGCTCATTTCCAATTTCAATGTGTGAATGTCTTTGGATGGGTGGTCACTAGGGAGCAGCTGACGTGCCCCTCCTAGTATTTCGGGAATGGGACGCCATTACAAGGGCGGACCCCCGAACTTTATTTTTGACTGCATTTCGCTAGTTCACAAACTACGACTGCATTGCTACCAACAAAATGAATATGAACTCCCGCCCAACCTGGCTCTGTTCAACCGAGGAGGGGTGCTTCTGCTCAAGTGGGTAGGAACCGGTCCCATCAACCACCTATATTTAAGCTATCCCAGGGTTAACAGGAGGGACTCGTTAAATTGGTCGTTTTAATAAAGGTACATGTCTTCAAATTTAAGCCTTCAATGTATCTTTTCAGGTATAATACCAGTCATTCTTTCAACTGCATGGGGCGTTTATAAAGTGTGTGTAGTTCTCAAACTAAGGATTCAAATTCCAACCCTATACATACACTCAAGGGCGGATCCAGAACTAACAGGGTCGCAAATTTTCTCTCGGTAAAAATATTTGGATTTTTTTATGTAGCCTCTTATGGTGCTTCATTATTTTTCGAGAACGAAAATCTCTCTAGTTTTTTCTTGGTTGTTAAGTCCCAATTTCTGATTTTTTAGTCCCATGAAAACTCAACCAATCTGCCGCTGATTGTGCTGGTATTCTCACCAGAATTGCTTTATCCAACACCTCCTGCACCACTCTTGGCAGGCCTAACCCGTCACCTCTTCCTTAATTCCTCGAAGTTTGGGCTACCGCGCTGAGCTTGGACAGTTACAACCGGCCTGCCGTGCACCACTACCCAACCAAGTTTGTTTGTTTGTTTGTCTTTACTCTAGCAAGCCTTTACCCTGGCAAACATGGTAAACTATTGACCCTGCCCAAATATTCCGCCCATCCTGTTAACCTGCACTGGAATGTCGGCGGTACCTCAAAATGACCTAATCATGCCCCGTAAAATCGATAAAACAATGAGATAATATAATAATATTCCATTAATGTGTTCAAAACATTTGTTGTGTTGTGATTCCACAACAGATTTTATCAAACAAAGGCTTTTGTAACACCTTCATTATCTAAGGTTCAATTACCGCAGTCAAAGGAAGCAGTGGATTCTGGAATTCAAAACAGTCAATAGACCATACACTGGAATGAAAGCATGCCATTGTTTCCATCCTTCTCCAGGTGAAATGCTTTCAATCCATGTTTTGTCCTGTAGATTGATGCATAATCAGGCAAGTTTAAAGTCTGCACAGTCTCAGTTTTTCCTCAATTACGCCTGTCACTAGTCCGCAGAATAATTCTCAAGTGGCAGGGTTGGGGGCAGAAATTTGAATACAGATCCCGGGAAAATATCGTTTTAGAGAGCAAGTGGTTCTTAGAAAAATCCCTACAACTCGTAAATTTTGCTCTAGCAACAAATACTTGGATGCCATCAAAACCTACATTTCCGCATAGTGTAAGTTAGTTTTTTTAATTAGATTTCATTACTTCACAATTTCACAATTTACCCTTCACTATGCAATTACACAAGTTGTAATGCAAACGGTTATCCAACTTTCCTCAGCACGCATATCACGTTTAACATCTTCCCCACTCATCTCTGCCGTGCCTTGTCTGCAGTTGCCACCCCTTCATCAACAACATAACAATCGCCAACGTTCGAAACATTTTCAAATGAAAAGGTGCTATACAAAGCTGGTTGTAAAGCTTTTGAACGCTGAAAGATCCACCTTAACTTTGTCTTCCTAAGGCGATCAGCTAAGTGTCTGGGGGCACCCAGGGCACACACATTTTTTTCAAAGGAGCACCACAAGAAAAGAATCTGCCGCTAACTCACTATTGTTGACAGATTCACCCTGAGATTATTCACAGATTTTAAATGGCGGGGGCACCGAGGGCACGGGCATCCACAAGGGGAACCTGCCCCCGTGCTCCCCTCCCTTTGTTACGCCACCGAGGCCTGTTTCAAACGTCGTGCTTAACATGCCGTTTCGAATACAATTATTCAACTTAATTTTTTTTTATTCAGCACGGCATATGCACGACGTTTAAAACCTATTTGGCTCGGCAAATTGATTTCGGTACGCCAGAGGATTTCGGCTCATCAGGGTCTGCCGTGCTTATGTGAGAATCTTACGTCGGCAAAAGCACGGTGTGGTTTCAAACGTCGTGCTATATAATGCTGCCGTGTTGAGGGTGTTTCTATTCGAGGTTGGTCCTGAACTTCGTTGACAATTATAGGAGTACGCATGCTCACTACGTGTGGTAGAGTTTGCAAATAATCATTAACAAACAAACACATCAACAAATGTGGCGACCAAAGGCGCCTTTCCATATGTACGTTTTTTAGGTGCGTTGCGTACATTTTGCGTTCATGCGTTTCACTTTTACGGACACAAAAGTCCACTTCGTTAACATTACACACGTGTGCGTTGCGTTAGGCCGTTAATATCACTCCGAGAGCGATTGTGACGGATATATAGCAACGCTTGGCGCAAGCGTTGACGCGCATTATACGGGCAAGTCACAAACGGGCGTTGCAAACTCTTGGAGGCGCACTGTTGTGAATCGCCCGAATGATAGACAGGCAGCTTATTAGAATGGAAATTTTTCAAAACGGTTTCAGTTACACAATTTCTCTTTCAAATTCCTGCTTGATGTGAGATAACAAAAACTCAATGGTGACCTTTGAAACTAAAAATACTGTCCGAGTGTCAGAATAAGACTCCCAAATGATATTGAACTGTTCACCCGGGTGATTTTTTTATTGATACCTCACTGCAACATCACCAGGAGCGATAACATCGGACTCGAGAATAAAAAGGCCTTCATTTTTTTCGAAAAACAAAGTTGAAATTGCAAAACAGCAATTAAAATAAGGTTAATTGAAACCCAAAGATGCAATCTCAAGGGTTTTAGTAAAATTTATAAAAACATTTCTATTTCCTGGTTCCTTTGAAGATGTGATTGCCATATACGAATATCACTTGACATCCTGTGCACAAGCCCTATGAAGCTGGTCTGAAAAATTCTAAGTGTTTCTAAAGAAATGATTCAATTTTCTCCTTGTCAAATTTGACTTTTTGGAACATAAATATAATTCCTGAGGACTACTAAGGCCCCGCAGGGGAAATTGGTGGCGTTTGTATATGGAAATCTTACCAGTCTCCTTTCCGTCAAAGTTATAGAAAAGTATTGTAAAGTATTTTGGGATACAATTCGGTATTATTTTAAAACACTGTACGGGATTGTAGGTTACCAGAATGTTCGTTCTGTTCTTGGTTCTTCCCCATTTCGTCTTCAGCACCTTCCCCATTTCAGCAATTTCTTTAACGATCGTCCGTATCACAGCAGCCCATTGGCGCGCACACAAGCTATACGTAAATCGTACAAATGGCCTTTGCAAATGTTCATTCGCAAACGGGCAGTTCGTAATTACAAACTGGCTTATATTCAAAACCTGCATTGCAAAATTCGATCGAAAAATCTCCTCGATCCACTTTTAGAGATACCAAAAAATGAAAGGGAGGTTTCATTTAGATCTGGGGAAGCACGTTTCCTGTAAATTTGATCAACAAGATCAATTTGTATTGAAGTTTTCGGCCGAAAGATCAATGTCACCAAATATTACGTTATCATCGCACAATCGAGCGGCGTATGCATAGTCTGGCGTCGTCACTACATTGTGGTTTGGTACCGAACCCGATGACGGTTCTTGCACTCTGATCTAGAGCCTGTCACCAATGAATAAATGGTTTTCATCTGTTGAAATAATGAGAAGTGTTAATAAGAAGTGTTTTAATACGTGGCCACTGAATGTGAACAAAAACTCTGTTGTGCTTGAAGTTATGTTCAAATGAAAAAGCTGCATTCTTTTGAAGTGGGTGGAAATACTTAACATGTACGTACACATATCTCTGCATAATATTTTTACGACGATGAACCGTTGAGTTCGCTTAAGCCATGGGGACATTCGACTCTTGCACCCATCAAGCATAACCGGAGTGCACGTACCGTGCAAAGATCAAGAACTGGTTAAACGTTACAGTCGCCTTCTCATAAAGATGTGAGAATGAACATTCGAAAACTTCAAACCCTTTTTACCCGTTTTTCCCCGTAAGATAGCGCATGGTGAAGACACAAAAGGAGATTTGCCTTCGAGCAAAGTCCGTGTAAATGGTTCTCAAACATAAATAGTGATAAAGCACAAAACCGTCCTTGGAAAATGTTTGAAGTTTTTCTGCTGTTTTCCTTCATGTAACAGGGGTATTTGTGAATTGAAATACAAGTGTGGTCCATTGGTTTTAAACCACCAAACGTTATTCCAAAATGCAATCACATTATTCATTATTTAGTGCTTTAATATTTGCATTTTTGAAAGTTTTGCATACAGTCGTTTGAAAAACTGCGCTTGTGACGTAGCAAAACAGATGTCTCTGGAAAGAACCTTTTTGTTTGTTACCAAGCCCCCCCCACAGTATACTGGTCCCCCCTTAAAATATTCATATCCAAGAAGTGCTAGTCATGAGAAAACTTTACTCCACCAGGCCCGTGTATTATCTCAAAACGGAAACCGTGGAAGAGCCCGGGACCGAAACAATCATCATGTGTTGCCCAGAGTATGCTGCCGATTTCGACGCTGGCTGCATACGTGAGTTTTACATGTTGGGCTTATTTTTATTTCCACTAAAGCCTCTTCTTAATGTTTGGCGATTGCAGAGCTCAGGAGACAAGAGGTTATCTTTGTGGGTGTGTACATTATTTTAGTTATTCATGCTGATATTGACATTGACAATAGTTGACGTATCATGGAAATTATCGTAAATGATAAATATGTAAATGCACATTGACATGTATTGTGAATAGAGAATTAGTTAACAGCTCGTTAAACTTCGTTAAAAATTGGTAAAATAAAAAATTACAGCGTTGGGGTATGGAGAAGCCAAAAGCTTTTAATCCTCTCCTACCCCAAATTGCTGAATACATTTACATTATAAGATCTGGGTACAAAGACAAGTGACTTGAATAGAAAAAAATCATTTCATATTGTTGCCAATATTATTCAAATAACTGGATATTTGGTATTAAAAGGTTGAAACCGAGGCAGCATTAGCAAGCCCGCAGTTATCGATGTTTCCATAATACCATGGTTACCAACTCCAGCCCTCATAACAGCGAGAATTTTTGGAGGGGTTGGGAACGGTAAGGGCACTTCTGAGGATTTGGACACTACATTACGCTAAGTTCTCGTCAAATTGACGTGGAAACTGTTCCAGCGTGAAGCAAAAAAACCTCTTCGGTCATATTTGCCCATATCTTGGCCACCCTTACAGATGGCGCCCTATATGTCGTGCTCAGAGCTATTTATAGAAAGAGTTGACACATGAGTGTCTTAATTATTGGAACCAATATTGCTGCCAATATGTGTGCAGTGCCAAATGCAGCTTTGGCGTGCTAATTGTCCATTTCTACTCACTCCTAATCTGAAGCTGGCGCAACTCTCTTTGTACGAAGCTTCGGTCTTGCTCTTCCAAGAGTGTATCGCCTTACTCATTATGGTTATGATCATTTACCACGATATGTTCACATCAGTTATTATCTTTTGTCCTTGATACCAGCTATTTGTGACATCCCCTGTGCCAATGGTGGGACTTGTGTGACACCCAACGAATGTTTATGTCCTCCAGGTTGGATGGGAGCAGACTGTACCCGACGTGAGTTGCACGTTTGAAATAGAAATGAGCATTGTCAGAACCTTGTTCTTTTAATTGAGTTCTAAATAGGTCACACTTCGTCACTGAACGAATTAACGGTACGATAATGATATCTCATAAGCAAGTTAACAACCTTAAAATGTAATGTTTCTTCTAATTTTGCACTCATACGGAATAATGCAAGAATAACATCCAAACATCCCACGGAATGTATGAGCAAACACTGTATACTCCTCCAATAGGTTGAAGTATTAAGGGCCTAAAATGGTTCACACAAAAGTTGTCAGCAACGCTGCCAATTGTCTCTATAGTGCATCGCCCATGACCGAAATGACTAATCATAAACTTTTAAAATTGTAACATAGGTCTTCCATTTTTTTAATATAAGACCAAGTCTTATCGCACATAGGATCCTAATATCCAGTCTGCCCTATGCTGCATCAAAGCATTTTAAATTTCTTGTCTTTCAATAGCATGCCCAGCCGACACATTCGGACTCTTGTGTACGGGTGAGTGTCTTTGTGAAAACAACGGTATGTGTGACCGGTTTACAGGCGAGTGTCAGTGTCCACCTGGCTACCAAGGGTTCCACTGCGAAGATGTATGCACAGAGGCAACCTATGGTTCAGGGTGCCAGTCTCTTTGCGATTGTCACAACATGGCGAGTTGTGATATTGTCACGGGAGCGTGTTCTTGTACACCTGGATACCAGGGGCAATTTTGTGACGAATTCTGTGACCAGGGTTTGTATGGACCTCAGTGTAGTAGGACATGTCGTTGTCAGAACGGGGCTTACTGCTATGCTGTCGATGGTAGGTGTTCCTGCGCTCCGGGTTATATAGGAGATTTCTGTGAGAACAAATGCGAGCAAGGCTTCTACGGTACGCATTGTGAATCTCCCTGTGCTTGCAGAAACAATGCGCACTGTGACCACGTTGACGGAACGTGCACGTGCGCTCCAGGGTATACCGGCTTGACCTGCGGAAGTGTCTGTTCACCCGATACGTTTGGCCAGGACTGCAGCCAGCGATGCACATGCAAGAACGGTGCGTGCCACCATGTCAATGGTATTTGCTCCTGTTTTGACGGTTGGATGGGTGTGGATTGTGACGCCCCGTGCCGAGCCAATTTCTACGGCCGAGACTGCTTGGAAGAGTGCCAGTGTACGAATGGAGCCTCCTGCCATCACGTTACTGGGGCGTGTCGGTGCACAGCCGGCTGGCAAGGCACCTACTGTCGAGACCCGTGTCCACAGGGTAGGTACGGACTCGATTGTGCTTCGCTGTGTCGCTGTCAAAACAACGCTGCCTGCCACCACATCGACGGGAGTTGCCAATGCAGACCTGGGTGGATGGGGGCCGTCTGCAGTGAGCCGTGCGCCCTCGGATATTTCGGTCTGGAGTGTGCGGAGAGATGCCAGTGTCAAAACAGGGCAGCCTGTCACCACATCTCGGGAGCCTGTCAATGCACAGAGGGATGGCAGGGTCAGTTCTGTGAAAGACCGTGCTTGGACGGGTCTTATGGTCTAGGATGTGATAAGACATGTCGGTGTCGCAATGGTGCCGACTGTAGTCATATCGACGGAGCGTGTTCCTGCACCCCTGGTTGGCGGGGAGAGTTTTGCGACATGCCCTGTCAGCAGGGTCGATTCGGATACGAATGCGAAATGGAGTGTCTCTGCCAGAACAACGGCGCTTGTCATCATGTCAGTGGCATATGCACATGTACTGCAGGGTTTACTGGTCCCATTTGCTCGGAGGTTTGCCCCTCCGGATACTTCGGTCAGGATTGTCGTAACGAATGTCGATGTCGAAACGGCGGTGCCTGTCACCATGTCAGTGGAGAATGTAGCTGTACAGCCGGCTGGCTTGGACCCACCTGCTCTGATCCCTGCCCACAAGGTAGATTTGGACTAGACTGTGGGGACACGTGTATGTGTGAGAACGACGCAGTTTGTAACAACATCGATGGTAGCTGCACCTGCGCTCCAGGCTGGCAGGGGACGATGTGCGATCAGCCTTGTGATAATCCCCACTACGGTCTAAGATGTGAGAAGATCTGCAGGTGTCAAAATGGCGCCACCTGCAATCACATAGACGGAATGTGCACCTGCGCACCAGGATGGCAGGGGGAGTTCTGCGATGTTCCGTGTGACAAAGGTTTTTACGGCAATAACTGTGCCAAAGTGTGCCGCTGCGTGAACGGGGGTGTCTGTGATACGGTGACAGGAGCCTGTACCTGTCCGCCGGGCTGGAGACTATTCTGCTCTGATCCGTGTGAGTCAGGCTTCTTTGGCCAAGACTGTATCGGTGTCTGCCGGTGTGAGAATGGTGCTGAATGCAGTCGATTCGACGGGACTTGTACCTGCACGGCTGGGTGGTACGGCGCTTCATGTGATACCCCCTGTCCATCTGGTCTTTATGGACCTGGATGTGAAAAAACCTGCAGGTGTCAAAACGAAGCCACTTGTTCTCGCTTTGATGGCAGTTGCTTGTGTGCTCCGGGCTGGACTGGCAGGCTCTGTGATACTCCTTGTCGAGAGGGCTTCTATGGGATCGACTGCACAAATGAGTGCACTTGTGTTAACAGCATTTCGTGCTCGCCCCTTGACGGCTCGTGCTCCTGTTTGGCTGGATGGACGGGCCAGTTCTGCCAAGAACCATGCAGAGAGGACCGGCATGGACCCGGCTGCTTGTCGCAGTGTCGGTGTCAAAATGGAGCATCTTGCTCCATAACAGACGGAGAGTGCTTCTGCACAGCCGGCTGGACGGGTCGGTACTGTGAAGATGAATGCGATCGGGGAAGGTATGGTCCAGGATGTACTGAGTTCTGTCGGTGTCAAAATAACGCCCCGTGCAGTCGGTTTGATGGCACATGTGCGTGCAGTCCAGGCTGGACTGGTCCCTTGTGTAGCACCACTTGCCCTCCTGGATTTTACGGTGCCAATTGCGAGCAGGAGTGTAACTGTAAAAACGATGCGTTGTGTGATCCTGTGTCTGGTGCGTGCTCCTGTACGGCAGGGTGGACTGGTCGTTTCTGTGATGCAGGTTGCTCCAAAGGGTTGTACGGTCCAAATTGTGAGAGCAATTGTTTGTGTGAGAACGATGCTTTCTGCAGTCGCTTTGACGGGACGTGTCAGTGCACTTCTGGTTGGACTGGCCGGTTCTGCAACATTGCATGTGAGCAAGGGAGATGGGGAGTTTCTTGTAGTGAGACATGTCAGTGCCAGAATGATGCTATCTGTTCTCGTTTCGACGGCTCCTGTACTTGCCCAGCCGGATGGACCGGAGAGAGATGCAACACTCCGTGTCCTCCTGGTACTTTCGGCATCAACTGCCGTGATAGCTGTTCGTGTGTCAATGGGGGCACCTGTTCACGACTCACCGGTACCTGTCTCTGCCCTCCAGGATTTACTGGGTCGTCTTGCGAGCAGCCCTGCCCGGATGATTACTACGGACTCCAGTGCAGTCTCCGATGTGCTTGTGTGAATCATGCCAGCTGCTCTCCTGTGGATGGTACTTGTGCCTGTCAAGCAGGCTGGATGGGTGACCTCTGTGAAACAGAATGCCCCCCATCACGATGGGATGCTGGCTGCGTTCGCGTTTGCAGTTGTAGAAATAATGCTCGGTGCAGCAGGTTTAATGGGGAGTGTGCCTGTGGAAACGGCTGGACTGGTAATGATTGCGATATTGCTTGTCCACTGGGTTTTTATGGAGCTGACTGTCGGCAACGGTGCAGTTGTGCAAACAGTGCTCCCTGCTCCCGATTTGACGGTTCTTGTAGCTGCAGTCAAGGCTGGACTGGACCCAACTGCAACATACCTTGTGAGAATGGGTTCTTCGGAGAAAATTGCCAGCATGCTTGTGGTTGCCAGAACGGTGCCAGTTGCAGTAGGTTCGATGGCTCGTGCCAGTGCCTGAGCGGCTGGGAAGGGATATTTTGTGACCAGCCTTGTATGCAGGGATTCTACGGCAGGAACTGCGAGAACCCATGTGAGTGTCAAAACGGTGGTTCGTGCAACAGGTTTGACGGATCGTGTGGATGTGAAGCAGGATGGACCGGGCTTGAGTGCGACCAACCCTGCCGGAAGGGGAGGTGGGGACCAGGCTGCAATTACTATTGCTTCTGTCGGAACGACGGAACTTGCTCCAGGTTTGACGGGGTCTGCTCGTGTGTTTCTGGCTGGATGGGACGGTACTGCCACCTGCCATGTGCCCAGGGAAGACACGGGCCAGGTTGCACGTCTCTCTGCCAGTGCAGAAACGGCGCCCTGTGTGACAGGTTCACTGGACGGTGCATGTGCACCGCAGGCTGGAAAGGTGCCTTGTGTGACATAGAGTGCGAAGAGGGCACATACGGGGCCGACTGCGTCCGTACTTGTCGTTGTGAAAACGGCGCCCGCTGCCACCGTGAAACAGGTGCGTGTTCGTGTACTCCCGGCTGGCAGGGAGAATTCTGCAACGAACCCTGCACCACTGGGAGATTTGGTTTGGATTGTCAAGGTGAGTGCGACTGTCGAAACGGTGGGACCTGCGACGTGGTTACCGGTGCTTGTGATTGCGGTGCAGGCTGGTACGGGTTAAGTTGTGAACGCAGATGTCCTCCAATGAGATACGGACCTGGGTGTTCACAGATTTGTCGGTGCCTGAACGAAGCCACTTGCAACCCAGAAACTGGTGGTTGTGAATGCACGTCTGGCTGGATGGGTACTCGTTGCGATGTCCCCTGCCAGCAAGGCAGATTCGGTGTAAATTGTCAGCAGCACTGTGACTGTATGAACAACGCCCAGTGCTCCAGGTTTGACGGGACTTGTATGTGTCCTCCTGGCTTTGTGGGCACCCGATGCGAACGGAGGTGTCCAGGAAATATGTTTGGCTTGCAATGCACGGCCGAGTGCCAGTGCCAAAATGGTGGCATTTGTTCAACGTTTGACGGCTCCTGTATCTGCCAGAGCGGCTGGATGGGGGAACTGTGTCAAACCCCCTGTGAAGAAGATTTCTACGGACCCTACTGCACCAGTCCTTGCCAGTGCTTCAACGACGCTACCTGCTCTAGGTTTGACGGAAGTTGTGCTTGCAGGGACGGCTGGACAGGCGCTTCCTGTAACATCCCGTGCTCTGGCGGTCGTTACGGATGGGAGTGTGCAGAGAGATGTCAATGCCAAAATGGGGCCACGTGTCATCATGTGACCGGTGCTTGCACATGCGTGCAAGGATGGACCGGCCCATTTTGTACGCAAAGAGGTACGCCATTTTAAATTCCATTAGCGTATTTCAAAGACGAATACTTCTAAATAACTTAATGTTTATAATAATCGCTTTCGGCCTCTGTCGAAGAGTCTTGTATATCACAAAATTTCATGATTTTAATCCTAGTTTACCGACGTGTACATTCTTAGTTAATGTGGTCTGAGAGTTTAAAAACTTACGAACTAGGTTGGGTGGGATTCGAACCCACGGCTTCCTGTTTATTAATTCAGACTTTTAACCACTTGACCACCGAGTTTGTTGGGATTGGGTGGATGGCTCAATTTCATTGGAGCAGTGGGCACCACAAGCAATCAATTATGTTAGCTTTCCGTTGGATAGATGTTAATTTTTAACTAGGTTTTACTGTAGCCTAAAATATTATTGCGAATATATTTCTGAGGACTAAGGACTTTTGCCACCCCTTTTCAATCAATCTTCCAGTTGAGGAAGAGGTCATCGGCATCGGCAAACGTCAGACTGTGGCTGGGCGAGTTGTCACTTGCGCAGAGGCAACAATTTTCATTCTGAATGGATATCATTACTTCGAATGTCTGGATATCCGGTAGGCATGAAAGGAAGCTGAAAGTCCTGCTCGTATTTTTAAGGAAATTTACGCCCCCAGTGCAAATTGGGATAAGCACATTTCTCTGTTTTGGGCTCCGCAAAATATTTTCTAAACTGCGAATCAAATGCATGCAAAAACCTGTTGAGAGGAGGTCATAAGCCATTTCCATCTCTCTACGTTTTACTTTGATTAGTAATGTATTGAAGATATTCCTGGCGAGGTGCCCCTTTGTTTCAATCTTGACTACTTGTCGAATTGATTTCAACAGTCTTGTTACGACTTCACGATACTGACTCAAGCAATAAATAACAGGGCAAAACAAAAGAACGACCCCAAAGAAAAAATTGTACAGTTTTATCGTTTAGTTTATATAAATATTTTGGTGTCTTTATGTGTAGCGTTGATGACATCTTGAGGTTCCCGAACACCATTACGTGCCGTAATTTGTGGGTAGACAGGGCACCAGACAGAAACAGCCCCTACTACTTGGAGAGAACGGACCACGTGGATTTTTGCATTCATCTCCTAAAAGCCAACAAGTTAGATGGGCGATTTCAAGATACAGATGTGTCGGTAAGATCAGAATCAGTAGCTTGACCTTTGTTAATGAGATTGCTCCCGGTAACTCTCAGCATCATCTCCATCGTAACCCCCCACTCTTACTGGAAACTGATTGTACATGGCTTAAAATACAAGGAGAGACTTCAGCTTTCGGGGTCGATTTTTTGCAATGGTGTAGGACATTATAAAGCTTGACATGGGCGGACCCGAAAGAGCTGCAACGTGACCATGCCTCTCCAAGAGAACCCTCTCCCCTTTGAAAATATTTAGAAAATGGTGATAAAGGGGGCTATTTTATTTTCCTTAATTCCTAGCGTCTAAAAAGGTTCCAGTAAAATATAGCCTCACCCATCTGTAAAGTCAGAAAGGTTACATGAAAACACTTCAATTTGTTGCACCCCGCCCAAAAGTTTGGCCCCCGGAAAATTGGTTCTGGACCCGCCCTTGATATTCGAGTTGATTTTGCTTTTTTTGGGGGGGGGGAGGAACAGAGACGGACAGGGAACCCAGGTTTAGAAAAAGTCTCTACAACTTGACAAGTCTCAGTGGTGCCCGTATTCGCTTCGCCTCACTTTCTGTTTCTGTCATACAAAATGTAGATCCCATGTCAATTCACCAGTTGCCCTTTGAGGGCGCTTTCAAATTAAACTTTAAATGGGGTCTAAGTTTTAGATCTGCAAATTCAAACAGAAAAAAGTTCCTTTCATGAGACTTACAGATATGTAACTTATGCACAGAATACTATGTAAGAACAATCTAGCTGGTGGCACTGTTTACACACTTCCTTGCTGTCAATTTGTAAACAATTGGAGTAGAGCATTTGCATATGAATTGGACACGAATAGCATGTAGTTTCTGAACATGTTTCAACAGTGATATCACAGTTGTGTTGAACTGCCGGCTAATACTAGTTTCAAAGAGTAATATGTTTCAGTGTTTCCATTTCCCGTTCTTAATTGTGCTGTAGATTGAGGCTCGATACACCTGCACGAGGAAAAGAGAGTATCGCATTCAGTGGTTGTACAGCGCCTGGCGTTACGGCGAGTCGCAAGACGCCGGCTACACTCAAGACCTTCGATGCAAAATACCCGAGGGAAAACTTGTACTTCCTTGAGGGCACTCTGTTTTTTGACTAACTAGTTTTCTATAGAATAGCGGATATGCTCACTTAGAACTGAAAGACTGGCTTAATTCATGAAATTGATAGCATATATGGACTCGTTTTGGACAAAGAGGACAACATTTTGGGATATGTTTGCAAGATTTGTAAGCCTGCTATATTCTAAAAAATTAAACGGTTTATGAGTTTCATGACAAGATCAGACTTTTTGAAATTCGGGCTACTTTCACAACATTTCACACCTTGATGTCCCTGACGAAATTTCTTGCCACGTTCAGGGAAAGGCGATAGGGTCAAGCTACCAAAAACATTTTCCCTGTTTTTAATTTGGCCCTATGAAACTTTGACAGGAAAGACGTTGGCATACATCTTCATTATAAAAAAACTTCCATTATAAAGAAACTTGCCGGTTCTACAAATAGTATTATTCTGTGGCTGTATGTTAGATTAAAAATTTAAAAACCGATTAGCTTCTCCGAAATTGTTGCCTGTCGTTTTGGTGTATTAATGTGCTGGCAAATTGCTGCACCGATCTGGCGGTCCCACACACGTATATCTTAGCCGCGAAATCCGTTGTATAAATTTGTATACAGCTCGCTTTCCTTCAATGGCACCTAAAAATTTCATTTCAGCGGGAAAAGAAATGGACTTATTATTTTCCTTTTACCCCTTTCTCATTGTTATTGTCACAACCTCCACACTTTCGTTCTATTGTTTTAGGCCAATAAATAACCCTTGATGTTACCCGTTGGCCTTTCCAGATTTTGTGGCAATACTTTGAATAATGTTCTCTTTTGTCTTAAGCACACATTTGGAATTCTTCCGAATAGATCATGGTACCATTTCAAGAAATAAACATTTCCTGAAAGAGAGTGTAATTTAGGTGTATGCAAACTTTCTGGGTTCAAATGTTTCTTGCTTCTATTTCATGAGACCAACGTGGAAGCACAACGCCCTAATTTACGTTTGGAAAAAAAGGAGGGTCCAAGGTTCAGGGGTTCTCCAGGAGGGGTGGTTCAGAAGGGCATTTTCACTGGGTGACGGGCCATTTTGAAGCCCCCCCTTCTTTGCGATGTGACTCTTAAAATTCTGATTTTGAGGTCGTTTTCGTACTTTCCACCAGCCAAAAAGAAATCAAATAGCGCTCAAAATGGGGGAGAACCTATGAAAAATGCTCAGGTTTTTACATAAATTGCCCTTTATTCAGCCCCCTCCCCACCCGGCCTCAGAATACGACCTGGTCATTCTTGGAGTTTTGTCGTCCGCTACACCCCCCCTCCCCCTGCCTGTCAAATTCATACCGCTAGGACCTCTTGACCTTTTGTGCAGGTGTACGGTATTGAGAGAATACCCAAGTTTATTTATACTCACTAAAGTTTATGGCAACTTAAATGATCAGTCTTCAACGGCGACAGTTTCATTATGCATGCATACGTAGTCTTTATTAAACCACAGAACTTCTCTGAGTTATTGATTAATATATGTCTTGATCACTTGCTGCATGAGTAACATTATAAGCTTGGTTTCATTACAATTTAATAATAATATTACAGTCTAAAGGGAACTTTATCACTTAAAATAAACACCATTTGACTACGTCAGCACTTACAAATAATCAACCTGATTTTGTTTGTACAAGAGTTAGTTGCGTACTTTGTCGGGTAAACTTTGTCGTTTAATCACTTGGTTTCAGAACAAACTGTTGATAAAGCATAATGAAACATACTTTACTTTATCAAACCTTTACCTATGTTTCATTTTCATAAAATTGAAAAATGACAGGTTGTTTCAAAAGAACAAATAACTTGTGCGTCTTGTGACTTTTATGTTTACTTTCAATCCTCAATTTTCACTTGCTGAAAATATAATCCAATTGGAATTTGACCCTTGATCAGATTACACTGTAGATCTGTTTGATGGTGCATGAGACAGTAATAATTACATTGAGGATTTTTCATGCAAACAATTTAAACCCTTATCATAACTTTAATATTCTCACACTACTGAACGTAAAAGTACATTTCATTGAAATGGAAAAACAAAAAAACACTTGTAACTAGCGACGTTCATTTTCAAATTTGGGTGAAGCCTCGACCCATAAGTCTGACCTAAATTGCCTCTGTGTTGATCAAACTGTTTGTACGTAACTATGGCCAATGTTAAACTAATATTTGCATTTTTTATCAAACAAAAAAAAAGATAGAGTTTAATGTGAGTGTTTTCAACTGTCTAATTCTATCTTAAACCCAAAATTATTATAGATCAAAAATTAGCTACAACATTGTTTATTTAAAATTTACATAAGAGTAAAATACTATTGTGTATTACGTATAACCATCTGCTTATGAATGATACATGTTAACAAGATTCTTTTGTCAAAGACTATCACGATCGTAACGGGATTATTGTTGATTTCTGTGACTTTGGACCCAAGAGCCAAATTTTGAAATCCAAAACCTTGTATTCTGTGGGATATGAAGAGGAAAGATCGGAATGAAATAAAACCGTTGACCATACGGCAGAGCTTTGAAGTCAAGAAAGTACTTATCTTCTGGAACTGATAACACTAGTGAGGGCTACTTTTTAGACATTGTGGCATTGGTGAGTTGCAAGCAACTTTGGTAGGGTTTCAGGCTACTGCTGTAGGGTTGAGAACGTTGTTACAAAGTGGCGAGGCAAAAGATGGGGGCAAGGGGGCAATCACCCCTTTTCATTGTGGGAACTATTGCCTCGTCCCCTTGCCACGGCCCGATCTGAGCCTGACTACGCCACTGACTTCAGGGTATGGAGAAAAATGCCTTACAGAAAAGGACATTTTTATTCATCAAAAGCGAAATCGCACACAGAGAAGTGAAAGCATTTCCAAAATTGGGGCCTACGTGTTTATTTAGCTTTGCAGAAGCGATGTTACACCTGTACACAGTATTTTGCCAGTTTGAGTTGTATGGCACTGCGTGCAAACATCCACTCCTCAAAAGTTCAAAATCAATGGGTTAGACATTGACAAACTTCAACAGTCAGTACTGCGTGTTTATTTGACGTAGTGTCGGCGCGAGTGCAGAGCGCGATTAAGTTTTAATGTGAATGTGATATTTACGAACACTTGTGATAACTGGGCAAAAAAACACCAGCCATTGAATCTAACCAAAGACTGCCAGAAATGTTTTCCCAGTCGACTCCTAAGTATCAAATCTTTGTTTCTGAAGTGATGTTCTGTCAATTTCTGTGTTCCTTGGCCTTCTTCCAGTTGCCCCAGACTGTTTTAATTGTCAGTCTCTGTTTTTGTCTTCCGCAGAAGGATAGCTTGTACTATGGAACTTGACATTGGCTTATACCTATCCATGCACTTGTTGTAGAAGTGATAAAGGTTTTCATAGTTCTGATACCATTCAAAATCAATTTCTTCAATCTCAGTTGGTTTCTCTTTAATAACGGTGAGGTTAGCAGGATCTGAAAAGGATTCAGTGAATTCGAGGTGGACTTTTGAGTCGTTGAAATTGTCAATGTACAGCACCAACGCCTGATCCTTTATGTGCTTACAAATTTCCTGAAGTCGCAGTTTCTTTTCCGGTGCTTGTTGCAGGCTGTAAAAAAGTGGAGAGAAGGCGGTTATGAAAGTGACGATATCTGATCGCTGGATTGGCTGAAGTTCTCCTACCTCAAGGCTGGATTCTTCAAGGAAGTCGCAACGGCTGTACTCTACAGAGAGTGTCCCTGGACCCAAGCGTAAGATTTCCTGCATAGATGTCCATGTGTCCCCCCACTTGTCATGTCGGTCTAGCACTGTACAGTTTAACCTGACGGGGTATAATTGGTGATCTTGGAGGAACTTAATTAGCGCTACCAAGTCCGTGCCAGGTCCACCGCCAAGGCAACAAACGTTCAGCGTACTTCTCGATTCGAGTTTGGCTTGTAATTCTGGTAGGAAGGCCAGAAGAGTCTTGTAGGTCGTAAAACAGCTCTGCATGAAATACAGGTACATGTACGCGCACTGGTTGTCATTATTGCTGTAATCTGGTGAGGGGACAAGCGAAGTGTACATGGTGTTGTACGTCTTGGATATCCTTTCAGTCTTTGATATGAAACTGCTCCAGTTAATTTGTTCACGTTGATGACCCAGGTAATGGTTCAGTAAGCGACGAAAAAATTTTGTCGCACTAGATGTATTTACTTCGTCCACGTCGTCCGGCCCCGTTGCCATTTTTCCTGTATTCCAAAGTAGATGTGCGTCAAGCATGTGAAAACTTTATACTGGACCTATTCCCCCCCCCAAAAAAAAGCGATTGCCATAACAGTTGAAATGATGAAAATGAACGATCATACTGCAGCGGTACCTTCTGTCATAACAACAATTAAATAATTCTATTCTGGACCTGTGTGTTAAGTTAGGCCGCCAAAATCCGATGGCGCAAGTGTTGACGTGCATATGGAAAGGCTATGGA